AACATCACGCCAGCATTAACAAGCAAAGCGTGCAGTGTAGGGCTCGCGATAGTGTGTGGCCCCCGTTTCCAGTATGACCACACCCTTACGGTCAACGACCTCAATACCTATCAGCGGTTTCGAATCATCATCACGCCTACAATATAAGTACTGCAAAAACCTACTTTCCTTGAGTCGGCTGTACTTTTACACTTATCGCATTTTGAGCGCACTGCTCCCAGCTGGCCACATCCGTAGCAACGAGGCTGAGGGCTAATATTATTACTAGAAGGCGTATCTTCTACGACAGTTATCAACTGAATGCCCGAAAAACAAGAACTACATTTTGGTCGGGTACGATTTCGTACGTTACTATTATTCCTTAGGTACATTAGACGTGGAGGCCTGACCTAACACGGCCGCATCACATAAACTTACTAAAGAACTCGCGCTACGCGACGATTTCGAACTTACGGGTTCGGCGACGGTATTTGAAAGTCAACAAAACTCGTATTATTATTACAAATGGGGGAACTTACCTCCGCCAGTGACTTCCCGACTAACCTGACTTTGGTGATGAGTTGCTCCAGTCCGTCGAAGGAATCACGACACACGCGTTTTCTACCTACGATCTAACAACCCTTATACAATGTCCAACTTCATTACCTCCGGTACTACGTACGGTAATTTTGATAATAAAGCGCTCACTTTACAAATATATACGTCGACCCGTTCACTATTTTCTTCGGTACCTAGCGAAAATGTCTCTGAGTATTTTATAACCGCCACTCCAAACATCCCTCGAAGTCGCTGTAGGGCGTCGGTCCACGACGTGAACGACGACTTCACTCCTTGCCACCAGACGGCGGCCTCGCCCACCAGCAGCATCGGCAGGCCGCGCAGCTCGTGCTCGACGCTGACGTTGGTGCAGTCGCGGTAGACTTCGATGGCCTCGATAAATGCTTCGAGCTCATCCGCGTTCCTCGATGATCCGTTAAATTGCGCCGTGCATTTCGCGAAGTTTCCTGCGCGCGACGCATGCGTGTGTGCGTCGGCGACTTCGGCGCGCGATGGTGACGTAGGTACCTAATCAACGGGTTTTTGTTTCCCGCCAAAATACTTTCAATCAGAACTCTGTTTACTTCCACTTGACTCCTAGTGATGTTGGAGACAAGGGCATTTACTTAACATATCCTCCGACATTGTAATATCCGGGGACGAAATCACGGTTCTGTTCATCGCGACATCTGTGTCGGTATCCTACCCCTCATCTCTTCCAGTTCTTCTCTTCGGCGGCATAATAACAGGCAATTCCAACTGTTAGGTACTCGCTCGAAGAGTACGGGTGATGATTTTGAGGATGGTAGTATCAACGAGTTGGTAGGTATACACCTACAGACGCAACCGGCGGCACGCGGAAAATGGACTCGCCCAAGTGTTTTCACTTTCGTATTTGCACAGGTTTTACAATAGTTTTCGTGTGATTGCACTATCGGAGAGAGTTCACAATGTGTTTGTACGATAGGAACACTAGAACTTGTTGTAACTTTGAGTTTTATGCACAGTCCGTGGCCGCAAGTTGGGCGTCACTTTATTAACTTGAGATTGTTGCTTAGTGGGTTCTCAGGGGCGTGAAATAAAGTTCGATACAAACCAAAATCGAATTGCCGCGTTACATTTATTATTTATTTATTATTCATATTTTACCTTCGGCCCCGACTAAGCCAAGTACAACAAATATATTGTGAATATCTAATCCATTTCATTTGGATTACAGAAACTATTTAGTTTACCAACATCGCAAATATTATCTTGTTTTTAATATATTTTTGTATTTTTTTATACAAAACTAGTTTATTTTTTGGTACTGGTAAGTTTTTTGGACGCTAAAATCAAAACTTTGTTGTCATCGTTGATGTTCCATAAAAAGTGCTAACTTTAGCAATCTAAGTATTGCTGTTTCACTTACACATACTACGACAGAAAGAGACAAGGCGTGCTAATAACAAATGCCATGAAACAGTAAAATGGTAGGTCTGTAACGCACAAACTTGTAAACGTCAATGTCATCTTTGAATCGTCCGGCGAAGTTGCATTTTCATGAAACATTAGAAATTATTACAGTAACCAAGTTATTTAAGTGATTTTTATAGAATATAATACTTATATTATATAAACATGGTAAGTCACCTTAATATTTCATTGCTTCAATAACGAAAAATTGGGCTACACATAGGTTAGTAATCTTGCTTGGTCATTCAATCATTTTGATTCAAAACATTATTTTCTACAGGCTCGGCGTTATGATACTCGAACAACCATTTTCTCGCCGGAAGGTAATTATTGTGGGATATTTCATATAACACTTATTTGATACCCGTACGCAAACTAAATTGTCTTTCTTTTAGGTCGGCTTTACCAAGTTGAGTATGCTATGGAAGCCATCAGTCATGCGGGAACATGTCTAGGTATCTTGGCCACGGACGGCATCTTGCTGGCCGCAGAACGCAGAAATACAAACAAACTTCTTGATGAAGTTTTTTTTTCTGAGAAAATCTACAAGCTGAATGATGATATGGTATGTTCAGTGGCTGGTATCACGTCAGACGCCAATGTTCTGACCAATGAACTCAGACTGATTGCCCAGAGATACCTCCTGCAGTATGGAGAGTCTATTCCTTGTGAACAACTTGTTTCTTGGCTGTGTGATGTCAAGCAAGCCTACACACAGTACGGAGGTAATTGCAATTCTTTCCAATACTTTCTGTCTCTTTAACATCATTTACCACTAGAAAAGAAGCTACAAATAAACATTATTCAAAATACTTCCTTGTACCTATTATGTTTTGTATACACTAAAGGCTAGTATATTCAAAACTTCTTTGTTGTTAAATGCTTCTCGAAATTATTGTAATTTAACCCGTTGAAATTCATCCCCTAAATTTGTTCATACAAAAGTAGTCTTTAAGCATTCGAAATAAGGTCTATAATATAGGTAGTGGAGAGCGGTCACCGGTGACCGCTCTCCACTACCCACTACCACTACAATACACTAAAGGCTAGTATATTCAAAACTTCTTTGTTGTTAAATGCTTCTCGAAATTATTGTAATTTAAATTACCTACTTACTTAAAAAATGGCTTCCTTATGAGAAGAAAATCCTACAAAAGTTCTATGAAGCCTATAAAACCTTTTTAGTGTCTTTGTATTTTATTTTCTAATTAGACATGTTACTCAAAGTTATGGATATTTCCAGGTAAGAGACCTTTTGGTGTATCAATCCTGTACATGGGCTGGGACAAGCACTATGGCTATCAGCTCTACCAATCAGACCCCAGTGGTAACTACGGTGGATGGAAAGCCACTTGCATTGGAAACAACAGCGCTGTAAGTTAAAAATAATCAAATCAGTTTCTTTAATGTTTTAACCAAAATGACTAAATTAAATGTGTCCATAGTCCTTACTATTATCGCAGGAAAAACATTGCTTACTCTATAACAGGACTTCGATAAATAAATATTTTGAAATTTTTTTTTTCTTTTTTTCTAGTGTTTGATCTCTAATAGTCATAGCTAATATTGAAAAAGTCTTTAGGAATTTAAAAATGTTTATACCAGAGTGTAACAACCTTTATTTTTTTCTTCAGGCGGCTGTATCAAGTCTGAAACAGGAATACAAGGAAAATGAGACCACTCTTGCTGAAGCCCAGGCTTTAGCCATCAAGGTGCTTAGCAAGACCCTGGACATGACCAAGCTGACTCCAGAAAAAGGTATGTTGGAAAATAATACACCAAAAATCTGTTTCACCATGTATTTTATTTTACCTTTTCAATCACCACATAGATAGATCACTTGTGGACCTATGTAACCGGAGGATAAGACATCAACAGTTGTGTGTCAATTAAACTCTTAATTTTGAAAATAATTGTTCAGTCTAATATTATCTGTTTAGTTTTGCTTAATTTATTACAAATGTTCACAAACCCTTTTTTTTCAGTGGAAATGGCAACATTGACGCGCAAAGACAACAAGACTATTATCCGAGTTCTAACCAGCACTGAAGTAGAGAAACTTATTGCTGACTTTGAGAAGAGTGAGGCCGAAGCTGAAGCCGCCAAGAAGCAGCCCCCCAAGTCGTAATTGTTCTCTTGTTCGGAATAAGTGTTCTCATATTGGTACATTAAATATTTTGCAAAAAAAACCTGGTTTTCATTTTATCCTTCAACTAACTGATGTGCTGCTTGGCTCCTATTGATCTCAGCGTGATGTTTTATAGACAATAGCCTTACTCAATAAATGGACTATCCGACACAAAATTAATTTTTAATTATCGAACCAGTAGTTCCGAATATTAGCGCGTCACAGAACCATGGACTTCACGATGTCAAAATGTAAAGATGAAATCTGAATTAGAGACCGACAATGTACTAGTAACGGATGTTCATGGGCGGCGCTGATCGCTTACTATCGTTTGCCTCTTAGATTCCACAAAAATTCCTTTGGTATTGTCAGAAATGGCCAACACCGAATGGTTGCCATCAGATGATCTGTCTGCTAGTTTGTCTCTTCTAATTACTTGAAATTGATCATTCAATTCTTACCATTATTCAATAATGAACGACATTTCCTTTGGCCTTTTATTCGGATATGCGAAGCTGTGTTTACCTACTTCACCAATAAGAAGTCCCGTGTAGTAGTAGTAGGTCGTGCATCCTTTGCCGTAAATCGAACACGATGCAGAAACTCGATGTTTTCTATGAATGTGATTAGATTAAAAATAGGTTTGAGTCGATAAAATAATCACGTATAGGTTAACAGTAGTCGCATCACTAATTACAGTCAACGTTGACAATATCAAATAATGTCATTTGTCAATGTCAAAACACGTATTGAATTGATCAATACTTACTTTGTCAACAAATTCAAAATAAGTGAACTAAATTACAATAAAATACATTTTCTGTATGCGAAGTTAGTAAATTTCGGTTCAATTGTGTAATATACATACATACTTGACAAAATGGCTGTGGAAAAGCCCGAAAAACCGAAGCCCAGCGTGATTGTTCCAAAGAAATCTCGACTAGAAATGAATGTGAGACTGCTGTTGAACAAATGCGAGCTGATGGCCAAACAGGAACCTATTGACGACAATTGTAGGCTTACGCAGTACGTGGAGTCTTTGAACGAAATGATAGCAGAACTCAAAACTAGTAAAGAGTAAGTGATTATTCTTATTGCTTTCAAACATTCTCTTAGCAAGACTTTACTCATTTCTGGTTTAAGTTAGGTGTTATATCCAGTTAAAACCCTATAGTTTAAAATTAGCTTCTGTCAACGGCTTAGCCCACGTTCCCATGAAATAAAAAGTAGCCTATGCCATATTTCAGGTCATAATCTACTCCGGTTTCGAATTTTATCTCGAACCCTTCTGCTGTTTCAACATTATTGAGTAACAACTACAATGTTTTTATAATAACTATCGTGAGACATAATTAAGTAAAATCGCGGGTTACTCACGTGAATATACTGAGAAAAGCTCTACTAGTTTCGAACCACAGAGGGGTTCCTCCTCATGAGCAGCGTCCAGTGAGCTGCGCGACGTCGCCGCGACCGCACACTATTTTACTTAAAAACTACAATGTAAACAGTATGCTCACAAAACACTGAAGAAGAAATTGTTTTTACAATGTTAATTGTTTTGTTTTCATGTTATTCATGCAACATTAGCCCTGAGCAATTGGTTACAACTATTATTACCTAAAATGTAAATCACATTTTATTCCTTATGTTTATGATAATAAAACCTGTTTTTTTATCATCACATGTTTGTGTTTTTCGAGAGTGTTCCGTTTACACCCTGTATACATACAAACTCACAAACTTTTGCATTTATAATATCAGTAAGATGATTGTAGAAGCTTTAGAATGAATTAGAAATTAATATCTCGATTCATAACATTTTAGATTTGCTCATAGTGATTATTAATTTTTATTCTTTCAGTAAGCCAGCAAAAGAACAGCTAGCTGAATATGTAAAAAGAGCATCTTTCTTGAAAGGTGTTGTACAAACAGCTTCGTTAAATACTCCCAGTGAAAAGGTTTGTAACTGTAGCAAATAGTAATCAAATATAAAAAAGAGGTACTATAAAAGCTAAAGCAATAACATATTTTCTTGTGCAATAATGTCCTGCAATGCAATAGTAAATGACTGACTCCTTCAATCAATATTTAGCCTGTTAGAATAATGAAATTGATTCAAAATAAGACCCTCCTTTATAAATATATTTAATAATAATAATTCATTTAATGTTAGACAGTCCATACAGCCAGAGTAATTTATAATACAAAACATGTTTGGGAAAACAACAAATAATGAAAAAATCTGCTTGTGAAGCAACTACTGCCTGCCCACGCTCAAAGCTAAGCTTCAAAATCCTTATTCCAAATATTGCCCATTTAATTATAAAGTTGTGCTAACTATATTGTTTTGATTTCTGATTAAATATCCAGAAGACTGACTGACGACTTATATTGCTAGTACTTGTGTTACAGTTGGAAGCAGTTCAGTTGCTGTCACATGGAGCAGCCACCATGTCTGCTGATGCATCAGCTCAAGAGATACACCAGAAGACTAGGGTTAAATATGGAGTTGAGCTCAGATCTGAATTATTTGGACTAGGTTCGTGTTTACAGTTCATATTCTCACTTAGTATTTATTTCATACAGAGGCATCCTTATAAGAAAAGCTTTTCTTTAGTTGCAAATATAATATAACATCACATCTTTTAACCCTGAAGGTTCAGGGTCCGTCAGGCACCTTTGTGCACATTACGGCACTTAATACCACTGTACAATGAAACACCCACTTTTCAATAATTATGTATGAGTCCCATGTGCAATTACATAGGTGAGCCTATCTAAAAACCTAATAATACTTTGCCTGACCCGGGACCCCTTGCCTGGCAGTCGGCAGTTGCACTTGCTCCAAATATAAATAGAAGATAACCTATTATTATGAGATGATTAAATAATAGAAGTACAAAATAATGCCTTTGGGTTACTCGCTATAAATTTATATTAGTTTAAGACTTAATAGAATAATGAATATTACACAAATTACGTACTATACAAGTAATACAATTTTTTTATGGGTTAAGCCGGTAAACGAGCACACGGATCACCTGATGGTAAGCAATCGGTGTCGCCTATGAACACACGCAACACCAGAGGCGTTACAAGTGCGTTACCGGCCTTTTAGATTAGGAAATTTAGGATTGTTGGGGATTCAGGGATTGGGGAAAGGAGGGGTAATTGGGCCTCCGGTAACCTCACTGACACGACGAAACACAACATAACATTGTTTCACATCGGTCTTCTGTGAGGCCGTGGTATCACTCCGGTCGAGCCGGCCCATTCATGTCGAAGCATGGCACTTAAAATTTATTCATTCTTGCTCTCTACTCTAATATTATTACAACCTTTGCTGAATATTCTTCTCTCCTCAAATTTCCAGAAGACAGTGATGACACTCTACGAAAGAGGAATATTATCAAAGCTCCAAACTTTACAAGCAACAGTAGTGGCCAGGAGGACATAGACTCCTTGCTCAAATACCACCAGAATATGCAGGAGAAGGTTGCGGAGAATATGGTGCTGCTCACTAAGAGCTTGAAAGAACAGTCTCAGATTGCCAGCACAATTATTAAAGGGGATACTGAGGTGAGATGTTATTTTACTAGATTTTTAACCTGTAGGGTTAAGTACACTACCTCGTTGGTTGCAAGTGTGACTAACGGGCAAGGCGTTTTGGGTTGAATTTCCAGGTAGGGCAAAGTATTACTGGTTTTTTTTTTAAATCTCAGTAGTAGCAGTCTGCAATTGTGCCATGGAATTCATAACATAAATAGTGAAAAGTGGGTGTTACATTGTACAGTGGTATTAAGTGCTATAATGTGCACCTCTGCCTATCCCTTCGAGAATAAAAGGCGTGATATTATGTTATGTTTGAAGTATATTCACTAGTTTGTATTTTGTTCCATGAGCTATGTTATTTGTGAGAAAAACAGCAGGATACTAAATGTAACACATTTCCTTTCTGAGAGCAATTTACTTTACAATCTGAATGAAAATATACTCGGCTGATGTTTGGTCACATATTTTGTAGAATATAATGTCATAATATTTTTACTCATATGACTCCAAATTCTCAAAATATCAGTCTTAAACCTAAATACAATAATAAAACTTTTCCATTTATCTAATTCCAGGCTTTGAAGAAATCCTCGGAGCTGACAGATCGCAACATCTCCTCATTGAAGGTGGAATCAGATAGATTGCAGGAGCACAGTAAGAGTGCTTGGAAGTGCTGGCTGTGGATCATGCTGGCTATAGTCATGGCTATCTTTATAAGTAAGTCGGAATTGTTCGTTATTTCGAATCATTATTGCTTTTTTTATGGGATAAGCTGGTAAACGAGCAGACTGATCACCTGATGGTAAGCAATCGGCGTCGCCCATGGACACCTGGAACACCCGAAGCGTTACAAGTGCGTTACCGGCCTTTTGGGAATTAGGGATTTAAGGAATGTCGGGGATTTAGGGATTGTGGAGATTGGGGAAGCATGGCGGGGTAATTTGGGCTTCTGATACCTCACTCACACGACGAAACACAATACAAGCGTAGTTTCACGTCGGTTTTCTGTGAAAAATATGTATTCTGTGTTATCAACTTTGTGACTGAATGCTATCAACTTTAACAGTCCACTGCTAGACTGTGTGACTCTTCACATCAGAGTGTTTGCCTGGCAAAATCATAATCTCCCCGCTTGGTAGACAGGCTGTAAGGAATCTCGATTTCGATACCCGGGCCAGGCATAGTATTACTGTTTTTTTTTTTTAATTCTCATTAGTAGCACGGAGTTTGGAAATGTGCCCGGTATATGGCAATAGGCTCACCCCCTATTACATAGGACTCGTAACATAAATAGTGAAAACTAGGTGTTACATTGTACAGTGGCATTATGTGCCGTAATGTGTACCTCTGCCTATCCATTCGGGGATAAAAAGGCGTTTTTTTTTATTGCATAAGCCGATAAACGAGCATACGGATCACCTGATGGTAAGCAATTGGCGCCGCCCATAGACACCCGAAACACCAAGGCGTTACAAGTGCGTTACCAGCCTTTTGGGAATTGGGAATTTGAGGATTGTTGATTTTATGTATAATGTATATGATGTTATTTGACTTAATATCGTTTTTTTTTCACAGATATGGTGCTCTTCATGAAGGTTATGAAAAAGAAAGTAGTCACATAAAGGTATGTATTGTAATTCCAGGTGATTAGCAGAAAGTGACAAGGTCATATCTAGTTCCATTATTATAATATTAATATTATAAGTATCTGTACCTAATTATAAATTATAGGTTTTTATATAATTGCAATATTTAACTCGTCGAGTACCGGTTTTATAGACACAATTAAAGAACAATAGGTCGCGGTCACCGGTGACCGCTTGGTGTTTGACAGTTTAACTTGTAAATGTTATTTATTTTATCTGTAAGTTTGGATATAAAATAAACTTCTTTTCCATAATATTCTTTTGTATCTATCTATGTAAGAAACTATAAATTATTCTGTAAATATACTTAGTAAAAATAAATAAATAAAAATATCAAATCCGATGTCAGTGTTTCGCATCTAAATTTATTTTCAACCAAATTATTACTTTTGTTTTCATGTTAACATGCCAATTTGGTCCATTAATTTAATACTATATTTTGAAGTAACTACGCCATTTATTGAGACATAGTATTTCTAACTAGAAAGCCAAAATTTCCACTACTTCTTATGAAAAATAGTTCACATTCTACCAGCTAAAGACGATTGTACACATTTAATAGTGTTGTCATCAAAACTAAATATGTTTACTGAATAGTAGTATTTTCATGAACACTAAATAAGTATGAGTACAAAATTTTAGGCCAATTGAAAAAAGAAAAGGTATGAAATATATGTCTCATTTGAACCCGATAAATATTTAACACTGTATAAAAAATAAAATCCTTAATTGTTTTTTTTTTATTTTATACGCATTTGATTTTTAATCTGTGCTCTACAGGAACTTAAAATGACCTTAAATTAGTTGATGAAATTATTCATCACAATAAAAATGAAAGAGTATAAAATTAATATTACTATGGAAGGAAATTAGTACCTTATTTTCAAGTAGGAAGACATAATATCCTTTAATGATTCCCGCGTGTACAATCGCTTAGCTTTTTAGGTCTTAAGGGTTCATTCAATTAATTATCTGTGCGTGTTTTTGGCCCTTTAATTACACAATAAACATTTCTCTTTACTATCATACATTTTATTTCTCGTTAAATTCGCCAATATGGCAGGAACATTTACGTACATAAATATAAAGTTCAAATCTACACGGCAATTTGACTTGTTAATTAAAAATGAGCTTTATTTTCTTTATATGTAGAAGCAAATTTAAATCCTCTACGGTATTATGAAGTTGAAGCTTAGAGAACACTAATTTAGATTTACTAGAACTACAAAATCTGGTTATATGTACCTATGTAGTATTTTTATTAAGAGTGTATAGTAATATCATTTTATTCCTAGAATCAATATTTATATGCATCTCTTTCCTATATTCGGTGAATTTCATTCACCATCAAGCGAACTAAAATACTCTGAAGTTAGTTAAACATTGTTCTATATAGTTTTCTTCTAATACATTTACTTTTTATCATAAACATCTGTTAGTTCGAACTTCCATATCTTGTTTGGTCCTATTTCTGTGACGTAGAGATGGGAGCCGTTTCTTGTGACAGCCACTGAGTGGGGGTTGGTGAAGCCCTGGAAAGACACGGAATATTATATTAGTTACAAGTTTAATGTATCTATATAGCAGACACTAATTTATGTGTGTCAAATCTGTTAATTAAAGCGGGTTACTCACGTGAATACAATGAGAAAAGCTCTCTGGAGATAACTAAGGTTCGAAACTGGTAGACTAAACTAGTAGAATACTAAACTAGTAAACTAGTAGAATTTAGAATGTCTCACAATAGTTGTTATAAAAATCTGTTAATGTTTGTATGATCAAAAAGTTATAGGTACTAAAGTAACAGTAAAATGAAAACTTTACGCCGGAATACCGAATGGCTACTTAATTTTAAGTCGTACTTAAATATCGTGCCATCTCTGTCATTTTATAAAAAGTTTGTAGTGACAGAACTATGCTTAAGTGCATCTTAAATTGAGTGACGTTTCAGTATTTGGGCATTATCCTCTTTAAACATGAGTCAGGTTTGAGCAGGTCTCTTATATTTATAAATCACTAGCTTCTGCCCGCGACGATCCCGTTTTCTCTCGTTCCCATAAGATTTTCAGGATTTTTTTTCTATCATAAGAACCTTCTCCTGACAATAACAAACACAACAAACAAAATCAGCCAAATCGGTCCAGCCATTCTCAAGTTATGGCGTGACAACGGGAAACGGGTTTCATTTTTATATATAGGTATAGATGGGTATGAGTTTTATTACTGTGTCTCAAACCGACAAAGAATGCTCAATAGTTTAAATAATTTTAAATTCGCAAGTGCACTAAAGTAAAAATTATAATCGATAGAACAAAAATACTTATTTATTGTGAAAATCAGCAGTTAAAATCTGATTTGGAAAAATCTCAGAGAGTTATAGAAACTTATAAAAAACTTCAGTTCTCTGAAATCAAAAGCCAAACGCCTATATCAGTACGGAAATATAAGAAACGAAAAACAAATGATGTTTCTACTCCTCTCCAAGTCAATACTCCTGTGTTTGGTTTGAATACACCAGATACTGATAAGCATTGTGTTGATCTGAAGGGGTGTCTACGGAACGCTCCATCTACCGAATCATTATATATAACACCGACAACTGTCTTAAGTAAAAAAATGGATCTAACTACCGAAAATCTTACGATAGTAGCAAAACCCAAAAGTAAGGACAGTACTCAAGGCAAACAGACTAAGAAAAAGGTTCTTATTCTTGGAGATCACCAGGTTTGGAAAATACGGGAAACACTGCAAAAATTAATTGGTCCTGAGTATATAGTGACTAGTTTTTGGAAAGCAGGAGCGCGAATGAAGGAAGTACTTAATTCTCAGAATGAAATTGTTCCAAACCTCACAATGAATGATTACGTCGTTATTATTGGAGGTACCAATGACTGTAACCCACGTGAATTTAAATATGGTGTCGAAAAATGGTTCAAAACTGTAACAAACACTAATATAATTGTAACTGAAATTCCGTTTAACAGATATTTAAATGAAAAAAAATTGAATTATGAATTGAGGTTTATTTGTAGTGCCTTTAAAAATGTGAAATATATAGACATGAACTATATAAAAGCTGTACCTCGTGGAATGTCTTTCGCAGTTAATCTTAGTCGTGCCTTACTAAGGCAAGTTCTTAATTTGGATAATGCTCGTAAATACTTTGAATACCAACAACAATTACGCATTCTTCGGGAAACAAGGAATCATAAATGTACCCAAACGGACACCTTAATAAACCTTGATATTGACGTCGCAACGTCAGAGCAACTTCCAAATCTCCAGACAATCTTTTTCGTGTGTAAATCTGTTAACATTTTACATCAGAACATAAACGGATTGTTAAGTAAGTTGGACATTCTAAGTGTTAACTTAGACAATCTACGAGATAAAAAAATTGACGTAGATGTGATTTGTGTGACAGAGCATAATTTAATTAACCATGACATATCATTATTTAATATGCAATCCTTTACCATAGGTTCAATTATGTGTAGGAAGAATAGGCGTGGTGGGTCCTGTATTCTCATTAGACGCGGATTTAAATTCAAAACTATTGATGATATTGCAAAACACACAATAGTAAATGTCATTGAGTGCAGTGCTATAGAACTATTAGATCAGAATCTAGTTATAATATGTATATATAGACCACCTAAAACCAATCGAGAGGATACAGATTTATTTTTTAAGAAACTGAATGATATATTGCGTTGTTTTTCATATAAATCTAGAAAACTGATAGTTTGTGGGGATTTCAATATAGATATTCTCAAAAATAATAGAATCTCGACTACTTATAAGCACATACTTGCAGAATTTAACTTGAAACTAGCTGTAACGACTCCCACTAGATTAATTAGTAATACGTGTATTGATCATTTCATACATAATGTTAATGGATGCAAATCTGATGTATTTGATTTGGGCCTGTCAGATCATTCAGCTCAATTATTGATTTGCCCCGTTAAATATAACCTTAAAATGATGTACTGGTATGTTGAAAGAAGAGACTATTGTCAAGAGAGTATTATAAAATTTAAAAATTACCTGCGCTCTCTAACTTTTAATGATGTCTACGAAGAACTGGACCCAGACAATGCTTTTAGCAAGTTTCATGATATTTTCAGTCTTCTTTATAACCTATGCTTTCCCATAGTGAGAAGCAAACGATCACTGAACTCTCGACCAAAATGGATCAGTAAAGGGAAAAAACTGTTCTAAAAGAAAACGTGATTTGCTATGGATATACAGGAAAACAAAGAGTCAAAATGATAAGGTTACTTTAAAATTATACTCACAACGATTAAATCGAATCATTAAACAGACACAAAAGTCACAAAACACTTATTATATTAATACTGCGTTGAATAAATCCAAAGCTACATGGGACGTCATAAACAGAAGTAAGATGACCATACCACGAGATTACATTACTCAAATTAATATTGACGGAAAAATTATAACAAATCCTATTGACATTGCTCATAAATTCAATGACTTCTACGTTGACCAAGTAAAACCTTTAACAGTTAATGCTAATAATACTTTTAAATATAAAATGACACATAAATGTAATAACAATAATAATTCAATATTTATTAATCCTGTTACTCCCTCTGACATACTCAAAACAATCAAATCACTGAAGAATACAAATAGCACAGGTTATGATGGAATCTCAACAAAGATATTAAAGGAGGTTAATGATGTTATAAGTCCGGTTCTATGTCATGTTTACAATCTTTGTTTGTATCACGGTTATTTTCCAAAATTACTAAAAAAAACTATTGTTAAGCCACTATTTAAAAAAAACGACAAAGAAAATATGTCATGTTACAGACCAATTGCACTTATTCCAATATTCTCAAAGGTCTTAGAAAAAATAATTTATAATAATTTTAACAACTTTTTTGAAAAATATAATCTTTTAGCGAACGAACAAATGGGATTCAGGAAAAGCAAAAATATTAACAGAGCAATTTACGAATTCCTAAAAATGGTAACTGTCAGTGTTGATAATAAAACACCTGTTTGTGCCTTATTTATGGACTTAACCAAAGCCTTTGACTATGTTGATCATGACATATTAAAACATAAACTCTATGCCTATGGGATTAGGGGTAATGCTCTAAGTCTTATAACGTCGTACCTAAGTAATAGGAAACAAGCCACTGTGATAACAAAATTCGATTGGATTACAAAAAAAGAAGTTGAGTTTATCTCGGGCTATAGAGAATTGACGTACGGTGTACCCCAGGGAAGTGTCTTAGGGCCACTCTTATTTCTTTTATATAAATGACTTTCCAAACGCTATGACTTTTCCAATGATTCTTTTCGCAGATGACAGCACCGCCGTATTTTCTAATAAAAAATATACATTACTTGAGGGTGAAGTAAATTCTGCACTAAATTCTATTGTCAATTGGCTTACATCTAATAATCTTTTAATAAATTTGGAAAAAACTAACCTAATGATATTCAGAAATACAGCTGTACCATCTTCAGATTTACATATCAAATACTTAACAAAGACAATTAGTGAAGTTAAAGTAGCAAAGTTTTTGGGATTAATGGTCGATCACAATTTAAATTGGAAAGCACATGTAGAAAATGTGTGTGCCAGGTTGAATACGTTCTCATACATGCTATACATGCTTCGTAAAACTGTGGCTGTGCCAACCGCTGTGACTGCCTATCATGCTTACGTATCATCTACGTTAAGATATGGCATAATTTTTTGGGGCAACTCAACCGAATGTGAGGCCGCATTTAAGTGTCAAAAAAAGTGTATACGAGCAATATGCAAACTAAAGGTAACGGATAGTTGTCAGCCATACTTCCGGAAGCTGAAAATTTTAACTCTGCCATGTCTATATATTTTTGAAATTGCTGTTTTTGTTAAAAGTAATATGCAGATGTTTGATAAGCTTACTAGTACCAGATATAGAGGCAAAATTAGAAGTATTCCTAGTAAGTCTGCCTTAATGAGTAAGAGTGTTTTTTGCATGTTATCCAAGATATACAACAAACTGCCATGTTGTATTTCAGAAATTGGGAACCTCAACTTGTTTAAACTGAAATTAAAAGAATTTCTTAATAACAAAGTGTACTATACTGTAAAAGATTATCTTGAGGGGAATCCTTATGGTCAATAATTAATTTAATTTATTTGACATTGCTTGTGTGACATTCTATAATATAATTGGCAATTATTTTTTTACATTATATATTTAATCTGACATTAATTTTTTGACTTCAGTGGTATGAATAATTATAATCTCTGTGACATTACTGTATTCTAAATAATTCAATTCAATGGACCTAATTTTATTATGTAATTATTTTTAAAACATATCTTTGCATGCCAAGTTAAGGCAAAATATGGAGAAACTATAAACTTTGTTAACACCTATATATTATGTACCCATGTTTGCAAATGATTAAATGAATATGAATATGAATATGAATACTTACAGTGGTCGGTTCCCAGGTGTCCAAGATATTCTCATAGAACGCATTCACAGTGAAACCTCGCACAGCAATGTTCTGAGACGTCGGTCCGTTCACAGCGTAGATTGTGTCACCATGAGACGCAACAGCAAATACCCTGCCAAGGGTAGGATCCTCAATAACAGTGGTCGGTTCATCAAACCTATCCACGTAGCTTTTCAATCCAGCCTTTGGGCAGACAATCCTCATGTTCTCCCGATCAGCCACGCAGACCAGGTCCAAATGCTCCAACAACGTCACACTATGAGGTACATTGAGGGTCCAAGATTCAGAAACTGATGGTATAGCCAATAACAGTTTGCCAGCCGCGTTGAACTTTAAGATCTGGTTGTTGCAATATCCATCAGCGACGAATATTTCTCCCGTGGTTGCGACGGCTACTGAGGTTGGCATGCATAAGTAATGGACTGGAGAACGACGCCTGAATGGGAAGCCGGCGGTGAACGCTTCTCCGATTGTTAATGTTGGGTATTTGTGGTTGTTTGGAATGTACTGGAAGAAAAAAAAGAAAATGTTTTGAAAGGTTATCAAGCAACGAAGTCAATTTCTGTACCATTAAGCTGAGTTACGAAACATTTTTGTCCATTTGCGTATTAAAACCAGAAATGAACGAAATCAATCAAGGTCAAATAACCTTGAGCATTATCGTGCCCTTGAATACATTGTTTCAGTGTTCAAGTTTAATCAATACTGTTTCATCATAAGATAAATAATACGTAGCATAAATTGGATACTATATTACCTTAAAAACTTGATGTTTCGCGACGTCAGTAACCCAAACGTTATCATGATGATCCACGGTCAGCCCATGTGGCATGTAGAAGGCATAAGCTCCCCAACTATGCAGCACAGATCCAGTGTGGGGATCCAATACTAGAATGGTATCCTCTATGATCGGACCTTTGTCCAGATCTTGGTAGACGTTGGATTCGTTGAAAGTGCTGTAAGCAAAAAGAAAAAAATATTTTAAGATCCCTAAAAGATACTTGTACTTTTCCGCAGGACCCAAGAAATAGCTACCTACTCACTGAAGCACCAAAAATATTGAGCTTGAATGTCACAATGATCTTTAGGAAGATATTGTTTTGGTATGGGTATCAAAGGTAGTGTCGTTATTGTGTTATGGATACTTAAAAGGCAATGAAAGTATGATAAAATTGATTATTCAGTTTTAGAATTTTTTATTTGCATGAAACTGAGCTGACCACGGAACCATTGGAACAAGGAAGTTAGTGAGATAAGTTTCTGTCTTTATTTCGCACTTAACATACGATCACGGAGACCATAATTTAATAAAACACACATCAGACCCAACATATTTATCAGAGAATCTTTGAGAAATAATGGGATATTGAGATGGCTAATCTTACCTTTCGTCCCATACTCGCTCAGCCCTGTGGAATATTACAGGTTGTCCCAAAGAATTAATGGACACTGCGGTTATCTGTCCCACGTTCAGCGAAGTTTGGGGCCAGTCCTTCACTTCTTGGGGTCGTAAAACGATTTCATCCTTCGGCTGGAAAATTTTAGGAACACACTTAAGTTCTAGTTTATATAACTTTATGGCTGTATAGACAAAGGTTTCGTTACGCATTCATTACTTAATTTTGGATATAAAGGGAATGTTACTCACCAAATTGTAACTGAAATAGTCGAAATTATCTCTCACAGTTTCTGGCTCACAATAAATCCCCGATAAAGATAGAAGGAACACGAGTGTCGGCAACATTTTGTTGGATCCCGATATTTGTTGTGGTCCACGTATTGTTAGGGTCGGATTGCTGTCTGCTTCAGATATTGATTATACACTCTCGGACAAAGCGCGATACGCATGCGCGTGCCTCCAATGGCTTCTCATACATTCTCAAGGTCAAAATTGGGGAAACGAGAAATGAAATTCATAAATATCGAATGAACATAGATTTATTTTTCACATTACTTGAAACATGTGTATTGAACGTAATTGGCAGTGTAATCGATGCCCGCGTGCTACATTTGTGGGGTTTATAAGTATTTAGTGATCGAAATGTGGTGAACAACAAAATCGAGGTGCATTATCTTAGGCTAAATATGAAAATAGAAGGCGAAATTTAATTTCATTTTATACTGAATCAGTCTCAAATTAGAATCGTTGTGAGAATTTGGCACATATGCAAGGTTTTTGAAAATTTTGTTGAGACTTTCCTATATCTAGGTAACAAGCTAGAATGTTTTGTGTTACAATGAGATTTTGGAAATACGTTTAGATGTTTATAGGGCTCACTATTGTGGGCGCCATTCCGAGTGGGGTTGATCCCAGATGTATCCGGTCTCTGTCATGGAGCATATTGCGTTGTAATAGCGTCCTGGGCTTCTGCAGTAGGACCATGAGGGACATTTACATCGAAACAGTGTTTGGAACTCCTCCTTGCAAACCTCGTTCCACCAGCATGTTCGCTACAACATTATATTGGTTAGAATTTTCTTGACATCATAAAGAATATATGGAAAAATCACTTTTAAAGAACAGTACCTCAGTGATATATCCTCTCACGGACTGGTCTGAATAGCTTCTTTTGGTTATCGATGCAGTTTCGAGCATTGCACTCAACATAAGGGTTAGAACGAACATCACATATTGCGCCTGAAATATTTAATACACGAACACTTTACTCACTAACACATCTTTTAAACACTCCTATAATATTTTTTTCAGTCGTCTTACCTTAATCATAGCAGAGATTTGGTCCAAAAATAGAAAATTATCGGGCGGCGTTGCCTTTCATTTCCACGCCCCCTGACGGAACTTTCGGTGTTCCGACTAGGGTTGCCTATTCTCACGTGCTTTATCGGTATGTATTATTAAACGCGCGGCGTTTTTATTGATTTGTCTCTTACAGGTCGACGTAATTGGGTCCAGTTTGGTATGCTAGTATTATTATTATTTCTATTATTATATTAGTAAGTAGTGGTTGATTCTTTGAGTTTTAAAGGGCCCTTATGTTCAGTTTTAATTAGAGTAAAAGAATATTGTGGTTTTAATTAAGTACTTAATTATTAGCCGTAGCTTTTCCTATGTCCAAAGTATTTTATGGAACTGTAATTACGAATAGAATTTAAAGTCTGATTCTGACGAATAAGTTTGTGTAAGTAACAAAACAAATTCAAAACAACCTTGGTTTTAATACAAAATGCAAAATAGGATAAAAGGGTATATTACTTACAAACTATAAATGGAATAAAATTTACAAAATCACTAGCTACTTTAGACTCACTTCGTGTTTCCTAACTTACAATAAAAGTGACAACAAAGATGAGCAGAATAACATTAACACGTAAAAATAAAATTAATTAAACAATTAGAATAAATAACGAACGATAAAGATTTTCAAAAGAAAATAAAAGTAATTCAACTAAACAAATAAAGGCGCGCGCAGATGATGACGTTCAAATAGTGGAATAAAATAAAAAAAAAAGAAATTTATGCAAGCGTTTGATTGCGCGATGCTATTGTATAACTATTTGCTCGTCATCGTCTTCGCGTGTCTCAATGGAATGGCACTTAGATGTAAAAATAAATAATTTTTAGTACAAGTCTAATTACAAAGAGCTTTGGTCGGAACTACCACTACATTTTGGGATTCTTTCGCTGGCTTCATCAGCCGTAGTTTCAATGACATCACTAAAATTGGTCTACATTGCTTGCACATCTTCTATTTTGTTTTCTTCGACGTCTTCGTGTTCTTGTCGCCTATGCATGTCCTCGGCATCTTTCCTGTAAGCAACACCATCATAAACTTTGAATCACTATGAGATACCAATTAATTCGTTGTTTTGTTATTCAAGTTTTCAAATAATTGGTTATGTCTATGTCCATTACCACAATTTTATATGGCAAACTTAATAATACTCAAAGCAATATCAGATCAAAACCATACTCACGAATATTTATTAGAAGATTGGAAGATACTCTTGGGACATAATCGGTAATACGGCCAGCATTCACCGCCTGATTGCCCGGCCTTTTGGGCTTCTACGTATTCATCTAATAGGCTTGCGTACGGTGACTTGCTAGGTCTGAAATGGGAACCAATATTTAAATTAAGCACACTTGTTGGGAGATCAAACATAAATTAATTCTCACAAAAACATCTTGTAATGTTTCAAAAATGATTTACATGTATTTTACTAAATTAATTATTGTAGAGTCTGTAATGATCATCAAGGAAATTAGTAGTCAAACTTTAATCAATTTCATGAGCACTAAAAATCTCGTAAATGCTAGAATGCAAGTCCAACACCAGTTTATCCACAACTCTGTAGACGTCAGTTATTCTGTCCCCGATAAAGTAGCATCCGGTTACACTGGAAGCTGACCATATCTTAGGAAATAAGCTGATAATGCATCCTATTTTAAACTCCATTAAGAAAGAGACAGGATTTTTAATGATCAATAAAAATACGTACGTAAAGAATAGCTTCATGACTTCTCCCAGAAAACCAAAATTTTTGAGAGGATGTGATTGTATTTCACATATAGCTCGTAGGAGACATTCCTTTCCTGATAATCCGAAATTAGCAAATATGTCCTCCGCTATTCCGTATAATATTGCTCTGAAAAATATAAAGATAGTTAATAAATAGTTCTTAGAATACAGCTGTTACATTGTTTTGTAAGTAACAAAGATTGCTTGTTACAAATTGCTGTGTGTAATCTAGACCAATCTACATTTTGTTCCTATTTAGGATGCTATTGGTTAAAGATAGCTATCTGAAAGTAACATGAGCTATTGTTTATTCAATTAAACTTTTATTTTTTGCTCCAATTCATGAATTAAAATTTCTTATGTAATTGGAATTAGTTTTCGAATCACATAAACAATTTGAAACACATTTTCGTAGTAACTTCCTGCGTTCGTCGCCAACAGTCCTTCGTGGGTTGAATTCCTGATTCAACGTGAAGGTGAAAGTGACGACCAATAACTTAACCGCTACTGTCTAACCTCCACGTGGTCAGACCAATAGGCATACGTGCTAACGACTCACCTGTGTGGTCCCTTCAGTACCTTTGTTGAGAATTCCATCAAAAAGTAAAACTAATTTATCAATAACATAAAACCTCAGTCGTCATCTTACCTCTCTCCTCCATGTAATCTATCGAGGATCGCTTTTTCAACATCTGGGGTGACATTTTCACTGGTAGACCGTTTGCCTCGTCTGCGGTCCAAATATTGTCCCACATAATCCGCCATCATGGAAACCGCCGCTCTTCCCATAGATCGGGCCAAGATAGGCGGAAATGCTCCGTAAGGATTTTCATTGTCCGTCAAACCAAGTTTGTCAAAGTCGACTGGAATTTGTAAAATAATTACGATTAGGGCCTCTATTATGGAACTAGATTTATATTAGTAGATTAACATTAATTACATTCGTCTACATTAAGTACGGTGAGGGCCATATTTCAGTGTAAACAAGGGGTTAACGGGTACATTAAAATATGCACAAAGTATACAGTGCCTTGTACAACATTTTTTTATTATCAATTCTAGGTATCAGTAGATGATCTGATTGCTATAGATTGGTTTATTCCAGACTTCAAGCTGCTACTGAGAATATTTCTGGATATTCCAGATTAAAAACTTGTGTTTCACATCAATCAGAAAATCAAATCTGAGTCCGAGACGATTTACGAGAATATTTTACACACATCTTTAAATATTAATTTAATACGCTCTTATTTTTTAAAGAAATGTATGAGAATTTAAAAGTATATTACAATATTCTAGGTATCTACGTTTACTTCGCTAATTAATTTAACTGTTTCTGTAACACTACTGTCTACGCCAACTAAGACATCACAAACTAGTCTAAACTCTAATTTATTATCTACGAGTATTTTATTACCTTCTGCTTTATCTAGTTCTACGAAAATATCTAAAATACTATTTATTTCTAAGTGTTCTATCATTCTACTTTCTCGGATTTGTGAATCTTTTGTGGAATGTTCCAATCGCAATTCCATTGTATTTCAAAAAAACTAGTAAAGAAATCTGAGGAAGTAGAAATCGACATTCTAATACTACTAATTACTTACTAAAATAAGATACAAACCATATTAATCTAGTCCTTTGTGGTCAACAGTAAAACTAGACTTAGAAATAAAAATATTCTACTTTAAGTTTTGATTATTGTACTTTATACATCTTTACTAAATATTTAGAAATACACTACGACAGCTACTCTACTAAAAGTTGAATTTACTGACTTTTAAACTTCACTTCGTACGTCAGGTCAGCTGCAAATTATCGAAAGAAAATTCTTCAGTAAGTTATTAAAAATAAAAATGATAAACCCCTACACTGTTTATTTTACTTATGGCGATGTCATCTTTTTAAACAAAAACGCAGCTACATATTTATCTAGAATCAATTTAACAAGTTTTTCAAGATAATAGACAGCACGAGATTACTATTCAATGTACTAATTTGTACTACGACGGCTCTACTGCCATTGCTGATTAAAGTACAGACTTTTGAATTTCACATTATAATAATTCAGATCAGCTGCAAATCGTAGAAGTAAACTTGAGGTTATTTAACCCAGTTTGAACTACAGACAATTAATAAAAGTGTACCTACGACATAGTTTATGAAAAAGTACCAAAATGAGTATAAAATTTTGTAGTATGTATCTGTATCAACCTTTTATGATAGAGAGGATGTAGGTATAACGAATATGATAATTAATGAATACGATTCTTTAATAAAAATCATAATAAGCATTCGTTAAAATAAAATATGTTTTTAAAACTTACTTGTAAAAGGAAAACTGACTGTCATATTAGACAAGAATCCTTTCGGTGGATGCCTGACAAATGGCATCGACAGTGATGGTGTGATGGTCATTGTAGTGCCAGGTGGTAATGCCAACCTGCCATCATTCGTGATCCAGAGTATCCTCTTCTGTCGCGAATGTGGGATGTTCTCTTTGGCCACGCCATCATGGCTGTTTAGCGAAGCCATCGGCAGCAAAGCTGCTAATGCTATGCTTAATATTACACGGGGAACTGATGCATCCATCGCCTACCTAAAAAAGATCATTCATTAGATTAGTATCACAACTTTTGAAAGTCACAAATAAAATAATTAAGTACGTATGTAAAACCTCATATGTTATTACGTCATGCGCAACAAAAACGTATCATAAAATAAGACAATGTCATTCTGACAATACGAGAGATACTGCTAATATTATTTGTATATTTATTTATAACAATATTTATCAGATTTGTATAATGCTATCAAAAAAGTGTACTCATATAAGAATCAGAGATAGTAACGACTATGATCTCGATATTGATCGTTTTATAAAATCGTTAGAAAAAGAATATAAGATCGATTTTCGGACTCTACCGAGATGGGAGTACTTGGTACAACGTTTGCATGTTTCAGCCACCGATTGCAAACGTAAAATTCAAGATGCTTATCGACGAAAGGCTTTGATAGTACATAAATTATATATGCAATCAACTCGACCATCTCCTTTTCAGTTAACTGATGGTTTATGTAGAACAGCCGACAAGTGGCGTAAGATGGAATTGGATCGAAAAAGAACAAGAAAGGTATCAGAAGACGTAGTAAAAGATGTATGGTCAATATCAGTTCCAATAACTGAAGATTTTTCAGAAACTTTCCATCCAAATACTGAAAACATTTCATTGGAAACTGGAGAGAATGCTGAAGTTGTAGAATCGAAAACTGACATTGCAATTCAAGCGGAACCGTCAATAGAGTCAACTAAGTTACCTGATGTCATAATTACTAACCCTCACAAACTAATTTCTCCTATGGGATCACAGTTCTCTGGTTTAAGTTACAGGTCACTTTTTACTGAAGATGCTTTGACAGGTAAAACAGAAAGTGAGAAAGAAGAGTGGCAATGTTTAAAACAGACATCAGCAGTTAAGTGTACTCCATCACCAATTTCTCTGACCAACGATGCTCTAAGCCAACAAGTTATTAAATTCACGTTGACAAATTGTACGTATCAGTCTGTGTTCGTTCGATTAAAATACATTTTGGATAAGTCTTATTTTCGAAAAATCAAGATCTTGCCAATTTTCCAAAAGAAGCTGTGCCCTGGTTTACCTGAAGTGTTTACATTGATATTTAAACTTGTAAATCAAGAAGAATTTAAAACAGGCATATATTTTAAAATTGGCTTCGATGTTTACGATAATGTTCCTGCAGAATCGTTATGTGTGCCAATAATCAGTGAGTTCACAAAGGGCCGATGTGTGATAGTATCCGAGAACATAAATATACCGCCTGTTTATCCTTGGCATCTAAAAACAAACGATCAGTATTCTTCTGAATATATTCATATAACTCTACGTGATCCATTTCCTTATCACTTACATATTTATAAAAGAGTGATGGATTTAAGTCAAGAACCAATAGTTACTATACAAGCAGACGGGGTAAAAACCGAGTTTGTTACAGAGAAAATAGAACAAAAGGTACAAACGGAGGTGGTGGTAAATACTGAGGTAGTTACACGTAAAACAGATAAGACACTCGACACTCATAAACTCGATAATAAATCAAAAGTATCAATGCATTCGCATTTGCTACCTGAAATTTCATCGGAAACAAGAATGGCACAAGAAGCCATGGCTTCTATTGCTCAGGGTATTATTGAACTTGCTTTGGATACTTTTATGCTTGAAACAACGTATTTGTATCTAAAACCCCATGAAATAACAAAAATTCCGGTATATTTTACAAAAGTTGAACATACTGGCTATCACCAAAGTTACTATGATTTTCTATTCATTGATACAAAAACAGAAGAAGTTGCGATGAAGAAAATCGTAAAAATCTACGCAGAAGTACTTCCACATCCAATAAAAGTGCAACCTGTTATATTAGACATGTCGAAATCATCAGTTAAACATGGTTATTGTGAAGATATTTTCGTAGTTAGCAATACCCACAGACTATATCCTGCTATTGTTAAAATTAAATTAACTACGAAGATGAAAAAGATGTTTTATGTGGAACCTATGGAAACTACAATCCCTGGATCAGCCTCCGTGCCATTTTCTGTGAAATTTTGTTCTAGAGATTTCTTATCAGTCAAACCAAGCGAAGATTTAGTTCATTTCACATTCAAAATAGTTATCAACGGGTACAAAGCAGTTTACGAAAATATACCACCGTACTTCTATGAAGTAATTGCTCCATGTGCAGTAGAATTCAAAAAGGTTTATAATGAAAAATTCTTTAAAGAAGAAGGCAACGATAATTAAATCCAGACCTTGCATAGATTTCTTTATTTTTAATTTGTTAGTACTCATATTTTTTGTATTAGTGAGTTATGATCCTTTTAAAATAATAAATGTGTTTTCCAGATTTCTGTTTCTTCGTCTTTGTCACTTAAAAGGACCACTTTGACTCTCTAATGAATCTGGCTTAGAAAACTTGTTAAGAATCCCGGGAATACTGAGTAATGTTTGACAAGGATCAAACCTGCTATCGTGTCCGACTTGTTGTATGTAATACAGGTCAAGTGAGTTGATTGCCTGAACCCGCATAATATCCCAGACCAGATCTACAGGTCGCATAACCGGTTCAATATGACAATCGATTATAAATCAACGACAGTTTTGATAGAATCGATTGTGCTATAACACCTTTATTATGATTCGATATCACGGTACCTGTCGACCTGTCAATCGTAAACTTTATGTTAAATCACATTACCCAATCGCTTAAATCATTCTTTCATTAAATACTTCATCAGACTACTGAAGATGTTCTGTAGCCTTAAAATCATCTCAACAGAGTGTAACAATATGAACGAAACCTTACCCAGCATTTGAACTAAGGCTATCAGCACTGTTTATCACATTTTCTAATCGATCACCTTTTTTATTGATGTTAGTATTGTAAACACATTTGCGATTCACAGCACGTGTGTCACTTCAGAACGATTGTATGCTTAAGTTCTGCGTTCAATCGAATTGATTATGTATCGAATTGTCATCAAGAATTCATTTAGCATTCACTCGATACTTTCACATTAAAATTGGTTCCTAATCTGATACATGAATTCAAAAATAATGAGTTCAATGGCTATAGCTGCATCGTTTGCTATGCTCGTAAATAAATGGTTTTTTTTTCTTTGAAAGCTGATTTTGAATAATTAACCTCTTTATTGCTATTTGGCCGTCGTACTTGTTTATTTAGATTACATTTTTTATTTTTGCCACCTTAGTTGTTTTTTCATTCTATCTACATTTAAACGGCAGTTTACATTTTATTTTGAAATGGCATTTCTGTAGTTGAATCAGACTATAAACACTAACGACTCAGCTAAATGATTTAATATCAAGACACCGCTACTGAGATTGTACCATTCGTAATAACTTGATGGATGTGTGCAAGCTTACTGTTATGTTACTTTAGATTATATCATAATTGTCTTAGGAATCGCAGCTATTTCTTAGATAAAGGAAATCATATTTCTTTGTCTCCTACAACTGATTGTCGTAAACTAACAAGCAAACGATCAAACTGAAGCATTTACAACAGTTACCATAATATTTGTGCAATGTTTTTCCAAAATTCAAAACTGAAAGTAGCATTGGTTACAAAGAGAATACCAATTTATAATACTTTCGGGTCATGGCTCATAAGATTTGCAAGTACGAAGAGAGCGTTATTCAAAGATTATGTATGTTTTTGCAATGTTCGCTAATTTACATGAGCACTTTCACATAGAGTTGACATCAACAATCCTGATTAATTAGAACTAGTCAATTTGAATTCTGCTCATTGTGGTATTTTGTTTTTACACTTTTTGCCTTAAGTTCCAACCTCAATGTTTATCTATTAACAAAACCACACTTGTTAAACACAGGTGTTTTTCGTCACACAAAATCTAGGCTAGGTTTAACATCTAGTTCGACAGTAGCAATTCCAAGATGTACAAAGAGTTAAAGCTGGTTGTGGTCCAAATCACCACATTTCATCTCTAACAAATGTGTTATTGTTTTAAGTCGTGGAACGTTTTATAGCACCGGCATGATTCTTATAACATACGGCCCGACCTTATTTAGTACCGCTGTGGTTTGGCAGAACTACATGAACTGATGTCCCACTTCAGATTGTCGATTCTATGGGAAAATTACTATGCAATTTTATAAAATAGCATCTTTATTTCATTTTGCATCTATATTATCAGGCACTTCCATTAACTCTTACTTCTCAATCGTCTTGTATCCCAACTAGGTAATTTGTTACATCTTTTTTCCTCGATTACGCTAAATTCTAATTGCATTGTGAATCACTTGATGAGTTTCAGGTTAACAAACTTAATTCTGCATAGTCTATGTAGATGAAGTTGAATGAACTGTTATTATTTCTAGAAGCGCGCTGTCTTGGCACGCGTTCATTTTCAACAAATTAGATTACTTATTAAAAAAGTTGCAGTAAAAAATCCTAACTAGGTAACCGTTTGCACACCCAATTATATCTCATATTTTAAAGGAATATAAATAATTCATATTTTTGGTCGCTCGTTAAATAAAGACATGCGTAAAGCTATAAATCAAATTCGTCCATTAACACAGTTATAAATCGTTAATATTCATTATTCGCAGTGCGTGTGCTAAACACTTATTGCCATGTAATGTGTTAATGAATCTGTAGCAATTTGATGAATGGCTTGGACATGCCAATTTAAATAGAATTAAAACACTGACAGATTATAATAAACCAGGACGAATCTAAGTGCGCACTTCGTGTGACACTTGAAACAGGATTTAATTGAGGCCGCATTTAAATCACTCCTAGGAATGTGATAAGGTGACAGATAACCTATGTGAGCAATGTATCACTGAGAAAATATTGTAACGGTCACTATTCAAATGGAACTTACCTCAATATCACAACTGTTTTCAAGGAATAAATGTTCATCAAAGCACCTTTTGCGTCCTTGTGGAACTATCGTACACTATCAATCACACTATACAAATAAATGTCCTTTTCCTGCGATCATCGCAAGATGTGTTAGCTGATTGCGGGTCAGCTGCGCGGGCGTCGCTCTTGCTGTGCCGTTGCCAAAATTTCGCTAACTTTCGGGCACGGTTGTGCATAACAAACACTTTTCCACGAAAATGCGTCCTCCTTCGATATAAACCGCTTCTGATTTCTTTTTGGTATCGACGCTGAAGCGTGTTGGTGCGTCACGTTCGTCCTCGAGCCCTGGGACGTCTGTAATTTCTTCGAGTGGCACAATATCGACGACGACTTTGTATTCACATGTCGCCGAAACTCTCTTCGCTAATTGTGATGCGCGGCGCGTCCTTCGCTTTCCGCATTGTCGAACAATGGAGCGTAGCACCCCGGGGTGACAGGTGGGTCCACATCGCTTATGGTTGGCCCGTCATAAGGTCGGTAGTTTAGTGGCGATGTGTTTAGTAATGAGAGTCAGTTAAGTATCTGGTTGCGAGCGCTGGCGCGGCGATACCGGTACGGAATGGAGGCTCGGGCGGGTGTAATCGTTCGACGTCGCCTCGCCAGTTGGCCACTGGGTTAGCGGTGTTCCTTTTCCTGCTTCGTTTCTTAATGGGTAGCACACATAAGTGAATCTGATGCGAACCAGCCCTTCGCACCCGCGCCGCGATGAAGGTCGCTCTCGCCGCTTTATTTTTGTAAACAAAGATATAAAAGACCATTAAAGATTTATTTGTACAGCTTTACTGCCGTAACCAGTTACCAGTATAATATATGCATTTTCTGAATAGATTTACCTGTGTCTAATAATAATAATAATTGAGCGTTATTGTTAAAAGAAAAATTTACTTTATGAGAGTATTAATTAGGTAATCTACTATTTTTTGGAACTTCATTAACCTACATAGAAATTAGTATGTTATGATAATGTGTTTGTGTAAAATGATCAATAGCTGATTAGAACTAGGACTAGATTAGGTCAATCAGATTACATAGACAATGGACTCATTTATTGGCATTCAAGATTTTCTGTTTCCAAACATCCAGTTACAAAAGGTCTTTTTTTCTCATTGCACTTCCTCCAATCACTCGTCATCTCGAAATCATCTCTAGTAATATAATGTCATAGGTAATCTCAACGTGTGGTAGGCAGATTGGATACAGCCGTTTATAACCAGGGTCATCAGAAAGTCCACGGTCTTTACCAAATGTGTAGTCCCGTAGTAGGCTTTTATGACTCATGCGTAATGTACACCTTTGCCTACCCCTTCGGAGATAAAAGGCGTAATGATGTTATGTTAAAAATGTATCTAGAAATAAATACCAAATGTAGAGCTTTTAAACATTTTGGCCTGCAACTGAAGGATAACAAAATGATAACAAACAACGGCAATACAAATGAGATGGACATTTAATTTATCTAGGAATTAAAAGAGTGACAGAAATATTATGATAATGACACATATATAAAGTTATAAAGCTATATAAATAAAAATGAATAACTGTTCGTTAGTCTCGCTAAAACTTGAGAACGGCTGAAGCAATTTGGCTACTTGTGATCTAGAAATGTTTGTGGAAGTCCAGCCAAGGTTTTAAAGGTTAGAAAAAAAAATTAGGCGGTTCGAAGTTTGCCGGGTCAACTAGTAAAATAAGCCGTAATAAAAAAGTGGGGCATCTTTGTCAAAAATAAAAATGTTGAAATTTCAATTATTTTAAGAGTCGCGGTCTAAACCAGTGAACCGATTTTATTGTAGAAATAGGTAGGACGATGCTCGCCTGTAACGATCGTACTTTTAATGAAAGTACTTCCTTAATAAATTGATTAGAAAATATGCTATCAACTGGAGCGAAAATATATATGACACGTTCAGAACAGAATTAAGAATTAATTATTAATTCTGATGAATGACCTTGATTAACATATCAAGGTCATTCAGCTAAACAACTAATTGTTCTCATAAAAGATATAATATCAGCAACATATTAATTACACTTGAAAATGTCCAATTACATTATCAAATCATATTCCGATTACATATAAAGAGAAGAAGATTACGCATAGAAAAACAACAATGAAAGTAAAAACAAAAGAAAATGATACACATTGTAATAAAAGTTAATTGTTATACACAATCAAAATGTTGTCATAATATTGTAGTTTAGAATCGGGACGGAACATTCGTGCGGGTCCAATTACGTAAATTGCATAAAGTCACTCAAATGCGGTAATAACAAAACTGTTTTAGGTCGCGATTCCTCTCGTGGACCGCACCTCATTTATCGAAGCAAT